TGGAAGAAAATTAGAAAAAGGGGACGTCCGCCTGACCTAGGTCAGGCTGGGCAGGTCTGGCAGCCTTCTCTGATCGATCACTCGGTTGGAGAGTCCTTAGAAGGCACTCACCAGGTCTGACGAACCTTGGGCTTCGGTTCAAGTTAGTCAGATATTGTGTGAATTAATCCTTCACCGCGTGGTCACCTAGTCAGTGACTGCGTAGGATCCTTTGGTTAGTTTCCCAAAGGTGCCACCCCATGGCCCTTCCAGGTGGAGGGTCATTTAGGTGAGTCGAATCATAGAACCACGACTTTGTGTCGCGGATGACACAGACCCGTTCCATTTGGGATTGGTTTGGTGGGCTGTGTCGGCCCATGCCCTATATAGAAGGACGAGTGGGGCCAAGCATGTAGTAATTTAACTGATTCTGAGAAAGCTGATTTGTCCGCTTATTCAACGGATGAACCGGATTCTTCAACTGAGGTTCGCCGGATTCAAATTCTTCTGGAAAGTCCACCGGGGAAGGTTTCTTCGCCTGGGAAGCATTATCCGGGGAGTTAGCCCGGGAATAAGGTGGATTTTCCGACCCAATCTCTTTATGAACCGACCGAACGTTGTTCTTGATCTCGATTTTCACCAGCGTTGGACAAGACGAGACTGGAATGTCTTTAGGGAAAGAAAAAGCAAGTCTTTGTTAGCGAGGCGGGTACTTCCTACCCTTGTTAGCGAGTAGTTTGTTTTAATGCGAGTAGCTCTAATTCTATGTGACGAAAGCGTCTTACGACTTCTGCTTCGCCTTCGCCTAGTGAACCGAACTAATCTGCTTTCCCTGAGCCTGACGCCTGAAGCTTTTGAACCTTAGACTTCAACCACAGGCACTGGCTCACTACCTCGAACTAGCTCACAGGCTTAACTTTCCCTGCTACGTACGAGACAGGAGACGAGACTGGGCCGACTGCTTTACCTAAGGCTCAAGGGAAGTGGGAAGAGGGTGTTTAGTAGTGAGGTAAGGCCATAGCTAATCTTTTGGTCTTATACCGTATCTACGAATCAAAGACGATTCTCAGCATCAATGCACTAACTCCTAGAAGCTCCATTCATGCCCACCTGGATGTGAAAGCGATAGACATTCAATCAATGCTTTCGGGAAGCCTGGCTCTCCTTATAGTTGTCTGGTGGCTGGGAGCTTTAGAAGACCACTAGGTTATCGAATAACTGATTGGCAGTAAGTGCGCATCGTGAGATCTTATCTTTCGCTTGAAACTCTTTCAAATAGTAGCTCCTCAATAGGCCAATATAAGGTTTTTTAGTGCCGCGTATGGACGTATTAGCTTAGTACCAACATGGAACTAGTGATTCCCTTGTTGATGGTAAGGAATAGTCCTAATCCGATTTCTTCCTAGCTGACAGGCAGGTAATGGACAAAGCTATCTAGCAAAAGGTGAGGAAAGAATTAAGCTCCCGGGTCTCGTCTCAAACTATGGTATAGACGGAGTTTCCTGCCTCCCGCCACAAATCCAGAAAAGGGTAGCTAGTGTCCCTAATCGAATGACTTGAAACACTTCTCCGTAAGAAGCACTATTGGATTGGCTGCTTACACACCTACTCCTAGTCTAGTCTTGACCTGGGCTTTTTAAGGATTCCCTGAAACCGGAGCAAGAACCGCTTTCTAGTTGGATTCTTATTATAGCTCCTCGGCTTCAGTTGAAGCTCCTGGCCTATTGGTTGATGATAGGGTTTCCTGTTGGTGGAGTTCCTGCCCTTGGCCTTGGTTCCAGTCTCGTCTCGCATGCCAGCAAGTATTCTAGAAAGAATGACTTGGTTTCATGTAGCTACGTTATCCTCTCGCCTTTCTAGCCTGCCTTGTGTTGCTAGGAAATGGCTAAGCCTTTTTCGAGGCTTTCACCCGCAAGACTAAAAGAATAGGAAAGACTTGGTATATAATCCGTGCCCTCGTTCCGGCTATAGTCCATTAGCAAGCGAGTAGGGAAACCGTTCCTTCCGTTCAGTAAGGGAATACAAGCATTACGGGGAGCTTTTTTATTTTATAGGAATATGACTCTTCCCAACTAAAGTCAAGCGAAGCATAATGAGGAAGAAGGGGAATCACTACTTTCGAAAGGCTAAGTTCTTTACTTCTCGGGGCTTCTCTTTTATTCTTGCTTATCGCCAACTTTCCAAGCGTAGTCTGTAGTAGGGAGGGCCATTCTCGCAAGAAGTAGCATACTCATGTTGCCTGCTTCCTATCCTTTCTCATATCGAGACTCTAAGGCAAATACTTCTCTTAAACTTAAAAGAGAAGCTTATGAAGTTTAATCACTTTCTGGTAGTAGGAGGGAGAAAGAAAAGTTCTTGGTAGCTACTGATTCCATTGCCGGATCAACTTTCCGGGGTTCCACTATAAGGATAAAGAACTGGGCTAAGGTAGCTAAGAAGGTGGGCTTTACAGCGCTTGTCGTGGGTAACCGGGAATGATCGAATAGATTGTGCAGCTTGTAAATGATGCTTGCTTCCCCTTCTAGTAGCAAAAATAGGCCTTGCCTTAACCGATATTCCATTCAGCAAGCAAAGAAGCTAAGTTCCTAATCGAATTGGAAAGGAAAAGGATGTTCTCACGGGCTAGGCTAAGCCAGAAAGAGAGAAATGCGAAAGACTAGTTAAAAGAAGAAAAGAAGAGGAAACAAAACAAGTTCAGTTCTTCCTGCCGCGTAGAGAACCCTTCTTTAAACAGCAAGAAAAAACATACTCTATATCAAGGAGAAAGATGTTAGAAGGTGCTCAAGTCATGGCTTAAGAAAGAGCAACAATTGCCTTAGCCACTCAATACCAACAGCAGCTCCAGCTCAGGCAATGACTCAATGCCTTTCTTGCTCTATCTAAGAAATGACGAAAAGAATGATAGATTCCTAAGCCATTCGATCTATCTTTTCTTTTTGATCTCTCACTAAAGACATTGGCGAATTCCCTTTTGATAGAAATCAAAGGCCGTAGTAAGAAGGTAAACCGAACCATCGAAACCATTTTAACAAGACTGAACGCTTTCACAAGTCCTACTGCCAAGGTGGCCAATCTCAAGTACAAGCCAAGTCAAGCCAAAAAAGGATGAAATAGCCGTTCCTATTCCGAATCCAAGACCTGTTTGTTATGCCGAATCTTCCCCGAACTACTTCTTTAGTTCGTCTTATATCCTTCGTCCCTTCTCCTGGAAAGATCAGATCAGGAATACCTTTTTCTACGGTTCTGTGATCAGAGGGCCTTCTATTCCATCCTGGTTAGTAAAGCAAGGTACGAAGCTACAGCTAGCAAGCTTTGGTAGTACTCGAATGAAAGGAGAGGGCTTTGCAGCTGCTGCCCAACAGCGTAGTTAAAAATGGGTCTCGTACACGTCCATCCGCGTAAACAGAACTAGCTATTCTGCGAAAGAAACTCGTGGGCGAAAGTGAAAGGCTCCAAACACAGACCTATCATTATCACAGAGCCTGTGCGCCTACGCGCAATCTAACCAACCGACACTCGAGAACCTGTCTGTAGCTGACCTTTTCCGATCCCCCTGCCTCCTTCCTTTTAAACTACCCTCTGACTCCAGAGAGCCTAGGTCGCCGGTTCACTTACACATTTTTTCAGTCAGCCAAATAAAGACAAAATATACCTTTAGAAAGTTTCTTTAATGGCATAGTTCGGGTTCCCGACGAGCAGGGCGGAACCCTATATATACATACGCAATTCCGGGTTCTACTCCAACACGCTCAGGGGTCAGGAAATGACTCCTACTTCGGGTATGATCCACACTCCAATGCTTTAGCCGATTCCGATGCATATACTTATGCCCGAGCGCCTGTGTATGTAACTAGAGTAGAGGTTTAGGCCTGGGAAAACCTTGACCTAAGGTTGGGGCTTTCTTCAAATGATCACTGGGCTTTCTTCCCTCTCGGCGGATGATTCAATAGCGGATTCACCCCCTCGGGCACAGTTAGTAGCCCTTCCTCAGCTTGACAAAAGTCTTGCTTATGCTTCCTTCCCTATCTCTTTCCGCGTGAAAAGGGCTTCTATGGCGTCGAGTATTTTAGAGTTGTTGGAGAGCTTCCTTGCCTAGTCTATGCTTCAAGGCTAGTTTCAAGCTCATCACAAGGAGTTTACAAGCTGGTTTGATAGAACCAGGTTCGAGCGTACTTGCTAGCAGGTTTGCTGGTAGAATGGGGGATAGATAGCCGTTCAAAGTACCTTTCCCTTTTTCTCTGCTTTCTTCTATTGGACCAGGCAGGGATCTCTGATTAGTCGAATGAGCCCATCCCTCTGGGCCTATCATTCATTTATTGGTCGATCCATCTTTCGCTTCCTTACTTCCCCATTGGTGTGATATGATCTTAGATGAGATTCTATTATCTTATTTATGAGAGGCGAGAGGGTGCTCCTTCATGCGCTTGTAGTGAACTCCCTTATCGCGTGATGGTGCTATGCGCTTCCAGTAGGTGGTGTGATTTACTATCTTCGCTACCTGGTGCGCTTGATGGGATCTATCTCACTAAGACCCATAGAAGGAAATGAAGGCTTGGCGATCTCACGCTTGTACTTTTATTTTCCTAACAGGTACAAAGTACTCCCACACGGTTTATGGGTGACCATCTCTTTCACTTTAAGTAAGCTATCGTTGTAAAGAAGAGGAGTGAGAATACACTCGACTTCAAGGAGAGGAACGAAACCATCCCGGACTGTGGCTCTAGTAAAGGTAAAGAGAAAAGAGTCGACTTCAGTTATTGAGAAAGGAACTTCCCGTCCCTTAAAGCAGCGGAAGCACCAAACTCTTAAAAAAACTTAGATAAGGTAGTTTACTTGCTTACTCTTTAGAGAAAGGAAGGGAAAGGCACGCTAGGCTTTCGCTGAAGGAAGATGGTTTCTACTATAGCTGATAACGGGATGCTAGTGCTAGCCTTGCTGAAAGTTTAACTTGACTCTAAAGGCACCACTTACTAGCTATTAGATTGATTACTTATTACCTACTTATTACCGCACTGAGCTCTCTCTTGTGCTTTTCTTTGTTTTTGAGTTGTCCGATCTACTAACCCCGGTTTATGCCCTGATAAAAGAGTTCTGCTCAGTATGCGCTGCTCCTGCCTCTTCGGTCGAGCTCTTGCTCTTGGTTGTTGCTGTGGGAAGTCTTGTCTTGGTTTCCGCTATTCAAGTAATCCCTTTCTTTCTGTTCTCAACAAAGAGGAATGAATGCCTAATACCGCTCGGGCTGCCCGGATTCCTTCACTCTCTTGCAGATAATTAAAAAGGCTTCTTTTTAATCTAAAAAAAAAGACATTATAGGGGCTTTATTTATAATAAGATATATAGAAGAATGGAAATGAGATAGAATACGATAAGCCGTCGCACTGGCACGCATACCTTTTCAATTGCTCTCTCTTTTTTCGTATAAAAGAGTGCAGTCTTCCTCCTATTCTAATCACTATTCTCCTAGAATGAGAAAGCTTTCTCTCTCATGCCGCCTCTAGTACGAGTGCCAGAGTCAGGTTCACCTCTTTATCAAATAAAAAACCAATAAAAAAGAGGCCTGGAAGGAAGAGTTTTAGGTTTAGGCGCGGTTCATTAATTGCATAGTTAAAGAAGAGTTCTATATCGAGTTATGAGTATGAGTAAAGGATAGGATTGAACAAGCCATGGTGTACCGTAGAACAGAAGACTTTTTTCGATGTCGTAAGGTGCATCGTTGTATAAGAGTCCTTTCTCTCTCATTCCTCCCCCCTTGCTTGCTTGGTAATTTCATCTCCCCAAGGCATAGGCGCCTTTCTTCCTTCCCTGTCGGAAAGGAGCTCCTTGTGATCTTCTCCGTCTAGCCCTTTGCCTTTCCAGTCTTCTCTTTCCTGCACGCTGGACGAATACTAGTTCTTCTTCTAGTTCTTGATAGTCGCTCTTGTCTTACAAGTCTAAGTAGCTAGGAATCTTCCCGTTTAGGAGTTCATGAGCTAAGCCAGACCAGTACGGTATCTCTTTGAATCCTGAATATGGTGATACCCCCGATTGTACTAACCTACATATGTCTCTCCTCCATCAATCGGTACTAGTTATTGTCATTTGGATTTCATTGACTTGATTTGTCCGATGAGAAATGCGAAACGAAAGAAGGATCCTCCTGCTGGGAATTAGATCCTACTCTTTGTCTCTTCTTTTCTTTTTACAGAAAATGGAGAGATGAATTGATCGATTCATCGGATCCTAGGTCGGGACTGACGGGGCTCGAACCCGCAGCTTCCGCCTTGACAGGGCGGTGCTCTGACCGATTGAACTACAATCCCAGGAAAATTAGGTGCACAGCCTAAAAATTATTATTTTTTTTTTCTTATTGGATTTCATTCGAACCGTTTTGTTTTGCCGTGTTGTAACAGAGACACGAATGATATACTATATTATTATAAAAAAATAGATCTTTTTAAATGCAGTAAACTCATAGTGGACTAATTCATGAATTGAATCAAATGGGCCCTTTAACTAAGCGGTAGAGTCGCGCTCTTTAAACGCCCTAAGAAATAGGCGTAAGTCGTCGGCAAAAAGGGCTTTTCTATTTTCTACGAAACTCCTGTCTTAGTCTTCATTTTCTTTTTCAGCAGAGAATATAGATAGATATGAAAAAAAGGTAACCGCCTGGCGAGTTGTTTTTTTAGTTTTTAAGTGGAATGTTCATTATGATGATAAGTAGTCGATTAGGAGAATTGCTATGTCACTTATGGTCGTTGCCTCATCCTCATGTTTTTATTATTCATATTTTATGTTTTGGGACATAGATATTATAGATACCCATTATGGAATCGATAAAGTCTTCCTACTTCTCCATTGTTCCAATCAGATTCGAAAAATGAGAAATCAATCAAAAGTCAGTGGACCTAAATGAAATCATAACTATATAAGCTATTCTGATATTAAGATTCGATATAGATGAAATCGTGGAAGCGGACCTTTGATTTCCTTGGACCACGTAAGAATTCATCGTCCGATTGAATCTTCTTGTTCCTGGATGCTCCATAGGAATTTTTCGCTATTCCTTTCCTCCACCGAGAAAAGTTCATTCCGAGTCACTAGAGCAATCTCTTTTTTTTTTTTCTTTTTGTTATGGTAATGCAATGCAAGAGGTCGGAAATCAGGTTGTTTCTGATGATGAAAAGAGCTTTTTTTATGTTATGTGAAATTGATGAAAACCCTATATTTAAAGGTCGGTAATGTTAGAAGACGACTGTCGGTATCTGATGGTAAGATACCTAAGGTCGGTATATCTTTGAAAGCTCAGACGGAGAGAATAAACGGACTCCTCGAGGGCTACTTAAGGCACTTTAGTGCAAACCAGAAGGACTGGAGCTGTTGGATGTTGCTCAGTGCTGCTATAACTTAACAACCAAAAAGCTCTGCGTCGAACTTCAGCCCCTTCGAGTTGGCCACGGGGCAACAGCCTCTGACGCCCCACACCATTGCGAAAAGAGAGGGCTTGCATCAGCCTACTTTGCCAGAAGGTGGCAGGATCGCAACGACCTAGCCCAAACCTACTTAAACAACCTAAAGGCTTGGCCCGGTCTGAAGGAAGAAGAAAGTAGACCTTGTAGAGAAGCGGATAGGAGAGGTAACCTATAGACTCAAGCGATCAGCTCGGTTAAAACTCACCCCGTATTCCATGTGAGTCAGTTGACTTCGATTAGACCAGACCGACCCAGAGAGGAACGTGCCCGCGAGGGCACCACCAGATGTTGTAGATGAACCCACTAAAGAAGAAGTTGAGTATATCATAGCTGACCGCACCATGGGCTAGCCCATACACCCACTGCACGAGTGAAATACTACTTAGTCAAGTAGAAGGGCCAACCTGAGAGCGAGGCAAGCTGGGAACGGGCTGAAACTTACGATTCGAAGACCAAGTCAGAGATTACTGGACCTTTCGCAGAGCGACTCTCAACGAGGACGTTAAGACTTAAAAAAAAATGTTTTTTGGCTTAATCCGCCTTTACTAAAGATCAAGGAGTACACTTGTACTCCGGGAAAGGTTTTTTTTCATTTTCAATTGAAGTTTGACTCTGATTAGATCCTTAGCGCAAGCGCTAAGTAAGCAAGCTACCTTATTTAATGTAAAAAAACCGAGGAAAATAACGTCAAGTAGAAACGAACAAGGTCTTACGGCACGATCACTATATCTTTTCTTTTTTTTTAATGGAAAGAGGGGATGTGACGTGGTATACCTAATCGTTTGGTCAACGTAAGTCGACATAGCTCCATGTATATGTTCTTTGGAGCTAGAACCCCATAAATAGAATGAAATGAAATAATGGTGAGCCTAGGACGACGAATATGGCTCAAGGGTATCCATACAAAGCCCTTCTCTTATTCATTCAAAGAGGCAATGCACTCTTTGAATGGTACTTGATTCATAAGGAAGGAATCTTTTTGTTAGAAGTTATACGGACTTTCTAAAAGGAAATGCCACGCTCCGCGTGTCACGAGATATGGGGCGTTCTAATCGAGGAGTTATACCTCTCGGCCCTATTACGGTAAGGCCAATGCACCAGCCAGCCAGTGTGGTGGCGAACACGCTGTGCTGTAAGCCAAGCTGTTCATCTTGTAGACGGAGGAGATATATAAAGTGTGCCGTGCGTGATTCATAAGATTCTATAGTAGCACCAGTATATTATTTTAGCCTCCCCCTCCCCGTCTCTTACTCGTCTTTTGAAAGCCGTCATCCTGGATTTTTTTTTCGTATGCCGGGGAAAGTGCCTCACCTTTCTACATTCATTATTATTAATATTTCCTCGGGTCTCTATAAAACAGAATGAAAAGCCCGGGTGAAAACACAAACAAAAAGAGAGAGGAAAAGTAGAAAGGGGGGAAGAAGTCTAGTGCTAGTTCTTACTGAAACTTCTTTTTCTAACTTTCATTTTTGAGTGGTTTCTTTGTTCTTTTGATTGAAAGAAAGACAAAACTTCCTCTTCTTCGACGAATTTCGGCTATGACCAATGCCCCGCTAGCTGAATAGGCGTAACAAAGCTACCTAAAAAAAGGGCAAGGTGCACCTTGGATTGAAATCGACGAATTGTTGCCAGAGATCTTTTTTTTTAGAAAGATTCTCCATTAGATAAATAATTCAAAAATAGAAAGAATCCAAATAAAGGCGCATACGCGGGAAGGGGGCCCCACTACTTCCAGGGGTGGGGACTAGCCTCATTATTTCTTACTGGGCGAGAGGTGCACCTAACCCACCTACCCACTCATCAATCACGGTGTTCAGCTGACTTGCACCGATAGACCCCTATTGTATTGGAATTAGGCGCCCATCTTTTTACTGTTGTCAACAAATCTCTTCAATGTTTGATTCTACTCTATGTTAGAACATTTCTTTGAATGCTATTCTGATCTAAGTGGTCCTATTCTGTGTCCCGTGCTAGGAAGCATTACTCCTCTTTTCATTCCAAATTCAAGAATACGACCGATACGATTGATTGGTCTGTGTGCCTCTCTTATTACTTTTTTGTATTCTCCTGTTCCTCGGATACAATTCGATCCTTCTACGGCCAAATCTCAATTTGTGGAAAGCCTTCGATGGCTTCCTTATGAAAACATCAATTTTTTTTTTGGTATAGACGGTATCTCTTTATTCTTCGTGATATTGACCACATTTCTGATCCCTATTTGCATTTTAGTGGGTTGGTCTGGTATGAGAAGTTATGGGAAAGAGTATATTACAGCATCTCTAATTCGTGAATTTCTAATGATCGCCGTGTTCCGCATGCTGGATCCTCTACTATTCTATGTTTTTCCCGAAAGCGTGCCAATCCCTATGTTGTGCGGAGCTGAGCATCTTCTATTCGCTGGGATAAAGCTTTTCCTCTGCAGGGGCCTTGTGCAGTAAACCCCCTACGGGCGGTCGTCCGTCGTCGTAAAGTAGTCCCCGCGAAGCTTTCGGGAAGAGGGGTAGTCTTGTGTGTAAGCATAGCATTTCTGGTCGAACCCGCCCAACCCAACTAAGAAGAACCGAACCTGACAAACACATCTTTTTCCTTTTGGGAGGGTACTCCGAGTAGTGGGTACCTCGTAGGACCTCGACCCGCCTACTCGGGTCTTGTATGGATATGCAGGAAGGGGTGCTCCTAGGTGTGTGTAGGGGTTGTGTTTGTTCGCGAGAATGGATTCCTCGTCAAGTCAGTTTGGGGGGTGTGGACACACTTGCGCGAATTCGGGTAACGGCTACAAGGGATAAATCGAAAGGAAACTGTACCCGACCAGGGATGGACGTAAACTCGTAAGCTACCGAGGGTAGGGATAATCGTCCAGGTCTTATTGTGAAACAAAAAAGCCGCCCCGCCACATCAGGCGGGTTGGTTCCTCTGTCGTCGCCGGGGAGCTCTTGGCGAGGAGACCTTAGGATAAGTTTCTAAAACAAACGGGAGGGGAGGATCGACCCGTTCAGTATAATTCCGAAGAAAGACTGTTGGCAGCAGGTGGAGACATTTCTTTGGCCCCCTTCAAAAGGAAATGTGGGCAGGGTTAATTAAGCTCGGCAGAGGGTTCGAGAATAGGGTAGGGTCCTGTCCTTAAGATCAGATAAGAAAAGAGTTTCAAACCTTTATGCATGCACCCCCATATAAGTGCACAAGTTCCGGCCAGGATAATTGGGAAAGATCAAACCAATTTGAAC